CCCAGTCTGTGCTGGGCTCTGGGCTCTGAGCTCCAGCAGCTCCCCCAGTCTGTGCTGGGCTCTGGGCTCTGAGCTCCAGCAGCTCCCCAGTCTGTGCTGGGCTCTGCTCATTGCACACTGCACCTTAAAATACATTTTAATTACAGAATTACAGAATTTAGTTTGATGCACTATTGGCACTCTATATTAAACAAGGGAATTTGTAGCAAACCCCAGACGAGGAGAATTCAATCGATTTTAATGTACTGTATAATTTCACGCCGACTTGACGACACGTTGGTACAAAATGTGAAAGATAACAAAGCGAAGATGGACTACATTTAAATGTAAAACGGTATACTGTAGGAAAGTTTAATTTGGTATAAGACCCCGGGAAGGCAAAAAATCAGACCTCTGATGACTTCGGTCTGCACACCTGCCGCCAAGGCAAACTGGACTGCGCAGCACGGACGCTAAAATCACACATTTAGCACTTGCGCGTACCGGCAGCTGGATAACAATCACACTCTCATATCGACTTCGGAACAACTGAGGACCCTGCTACCCGCAGTGAGGGCGCTGACGTCACCACACTAGCTCCGCTACATCATGACGGCAGTTAATTGCTATTTCTTAATAATGAGCTCCTCTGACCCGCTATTCGTGATGGAGATAGAGGCCCCACCCCGCAATTAAAGCAAGTAGTGGCGTGGTATAAAAGAGAGGGGGGGCGCAATCTTCCCTATCAACCGGGAGAAGCTCTCATACTCTGGTCTTTAGCTCTCTCTTCAGGCCGCGATGGGGAGGATAACGGTTTGGCTCCGTGTTTGGAGCTTCGCGATTGTGTGCGTTCTGGGCTCTCGGTTCTCCAGAGGTAGGACGCCGTTGTTACACACACTGCTGCTGCTGTCGCCGTTCGTCACTGCCGGAGTAATGAGGTGCGATCTGCTCAGCCGGCCCCCTGGCGGAGCTGTCGGCTTGTGAGGCGTCTCTTCCTGAGCCGAGCGGGGCTGCTGTCAGGACGCGAGTTGCCGGCATTGACAGGCGGCTTTCGTGGAGCCCGCAAGCGGTCTGCCGGCCGGAGTGGGTTCGCTTTCTCCTCGGTCGGAGTGACGACCTCGCCCGCGTCAACACACACAAATCAAACCTGTCCTTCACGTCATAAGACTGACTTCCTAGTCTCTAATCCGACATGTTAATTTCCTTAACAACTAAAATCAAACCCTTTACAGCATAGCGTTTCAAAACCAGCTTGTTTTGTCGGAAGGCTGACGATCCTGTACAGCACCTGACCGCAGGTTGAAATGCTGCGGTCTGATCGGAGGAAGAGCTTCACACACTGGTTTCCCTGTGGAAGGGCTCTGCAGATGTCTGCTCGTTATTGTGCGTGTTCTAGAACTGATAATGGAGGTGGGTGGTGGGGGAACCTAAGTGCTGTAATGTGGTAACCCCAAAGTATGCTGTCAGTGGCTGCTGTGTGCAACACAACAGCTGTTCTTAAGAACTGTTATCAAACTAAGGACTTTTATAGTTTTGCACCTGTTAAACTGATCGCCCTTCAGCCAGTTGAGCTGCCCTTTGCCCTTCCTCCTAGGCAGCGGCAGTGAGCACATCCAGACGATCTGCAGCACCTGGGGCAACGGGCACTACAAGACTTTCGATGGGGACGTGTACCAGTTCCCGGGGACGTGCGAGTACAACCTGGCCTCTGACTGCCATGACTTCTACCTGGAGTTCTCCGTGCACATCCAGCGGGCGGAGCGCGGGGACCGCCTGGTCATCAGCCAGGTGGTCGTCACCATCAAGAATATCATCGTCGTCCTCCGCGGCAAGCTGGTGTCTGTCAATGGAGACATGTGAGTACTGAAGGCTCAGTCTGGGCTTTCTTAACTGTGCTGACCTTCTGCAGCACATGTTCTTGTGATTCTGACTACACCTACAGCAGGATATGATGCAAGCCCTTTCTTCAATAAAATGAGCCTGGGAATGTTTCTCTTAATCGCCCCTAGTGAAATACAGACTAGTTATACTGCACCCCTTTTCATTAAAAACTCTTGTGGCCACAAAGCATTCAATGTTGACAAGTGGGAGAAATGATTCTTGTTAGATCTTCATTCTCCCACTCCAGGTGTCTAAACAGTGTGGGTCCTATGACGTTTAGGGCCTAGGCTGTGTGGAGGAAGGAGAGCTACACAGTTCTGGAGTGCAGAAATCCAGAAACTGGTGCAAAACGTCTGTTCCTTGTTCAGAACAGTCAAGGACATGATAAACCTACTTGATTTGAAAGCTTTCTTCTGTTTCAAACCTACAGTACCTTATGTGGTGTAATAGTTTCAGCCTCATGAAGTAGAGCTAACCCCCCAAATAGTCACTAGTCTTTAAATCCACAATGTTGATTGTAGCCTTACAACTTGGGACTAACACCATGGATTTTTTTGACCCAACCCCAGTGTGAAAACGCCATACTACGGCTCAGGGGTACTGCTGGAGAAGAATGAGGTTTACACGAAGCTGTATGCTAAACTGGGACTCACTGTCATGTGGAACGGAGAAGATGCCATCATGGTAAGAGCCAGCTCTTCAGAGAGGGAAGATTCATTCCCATCCTGTTACCAGTAGGTCACTCCTGGAGCTGTAACGAGACCATAGACATGACTTTGAAATGGTGGAATGTCTCAGGCCTGACATGCACACATTTCTCCATGTACTTCTGTCAAGACACCAGGCTACCCCAGTTCTGAACTGAGCGTTCTGGGCTTTCTCTCCTCAGCTGGAGCTGGACTCCAAGTACAGGAACCGCACCTGTGGGCTGTGTGGGGATTACAATGGGATCAGCATGTATAATGAGTTCATCTATGAGGGTGAGTGGACTTTTGCCAGAACCTATTTATGTTGTGGCTTTGCAATTATAAGCAATTTGGATGCTTTAATAAACTTCTACAACGTCTCATGCTAGGTTACATTTTGGTGCTTATCTTCAGGGCCTTAAGTATGCGTGGATTTTCTGAGTAGAGAACCAGTAGGAAATGCTTGAGAGTCTTAAGGGTTCTGCATATCTTGAGTTTTAATTGTATTTTGTGATGGGGGGGCTTCTTCCTCCCAGGAAAGGGGAGATCTTCTCTGTACCCCAAGCTCCCCAATATGCCTACATAGCTTATGTAGGGGTATATTGAACTTCTGGCATTAAGTGATTTCCGGTTGAATGGAAGTGTCCCTTGGCTGTAGTCCAGTAAGTGTTGACTGCTTGAATGTTGTGGGGAAGGAGCAGCTGGCTCATCCAGTCAATAGCCATGTGCAGTCCTACACAACCTTGCTCTTAATGGGCTGGTGGTACATAAACCTAATGAGGCAAGCAAGACACTGCCTTAAACTGAAAGGCTCACAAGGCCAGAGGAACAGCACTGAAATGACCTGAGAATGTAAGTCTAAGTTGACCTTTTTTAGAGCTGCCATTCATCTTTACTTGTAGATGAAATCCACACCCATGTACCAATGCCTTCATTAATGTTCATGTTAACACTAGTGGAGATATGCTGGTGCTTTTTGCCATGTTAACTCCATAATAAGTCTTACAGTAAATGCATTGGCCAACCAACCTGTAGTGAGGTAGGTCTTCTGAGGTAACTTAACTATAAACTTAGATGAAGTGCAACAAATAGTATCTAAACCTGCATTTGTGCAATACTATATAGGCTACACTTGTATAAAGCCAAAATCGTTTGCTCATTCATCTGAAGGGGGGGAGGATGTCAACAGGTTTTCCTAGCTCTTGGATTTCTTGAAAGGGGAAGGTGCCCTCAAATACCATACAAAGTCTAAGCGCTCAACAGCTGCTGTTCTCTTGCTTCAAGAGATTAATGCTCATCTTTCAAACAAGTCGGGTCACATTTCAGGACAAGAACTAGCACCTCTGCAGTTTCTCTGAATCGGTTACACACAGGCCTGTGGCGTACTTGGTAACTGACATCCTTGGATAACTAAGCTATTGGCTTCATGACTGGATAGCTTGTAAAATGCTTTTTTCTCTTAATTTTTGTGCTTGCATCCTGGTTCAAATTGAACTTATTCAAACCCATCGTTGTTTTGGGTTAGGCTCCCTTGTCATCTCAAAGATTTTTAAAATTTACTAGTGCTTTGGATCCATTTCTAATCTCTCAAGAGTGGAAAGGCAAACCGAGGATCAGGAAGATGAAATTGGGCATTTGCCAAAGGCACACCATGACATTTTAAACATGCTAAGTGCTTAACTTGTTTTAAATGAAAATGACCATAGTAGCTGCTTCTGAACTTGCAAAGCATATCAACTTGATCTATATCTGAAGCATAAGCTTGTGGGAAGTTCTCCACTGTGGCCTTCTTAACTTCACCTCTCCTGTACAGCTGTACAAGTAAATGCATGCTGCTATCTGTAGTCCTCCTCTTTCAGGAGACATCTCATGAATGCAGCTAGTAAGAGGCCGTATACATGAAGCTAGATTAGACCTGCCCCTGGGTTTTGATTGTTGCTGATGTGGTTCAGGAGACCCAACAACGTCTCTTTCTTCCCACAGTTTCAGTATACCACATCAAGTACAACTATAACTGGGCACCACTTTCACTAGCTCTTGTAGCCAGGAAGCTATGAATGTTGTATTTTACATGATTGAGCTGCACTTTCAAAGGCTAAAACTGGTTGGAGTCCACAGAGGGGCTTCCACCCAGCCAGCTGGCAAGGTGTGACTACCTGGTAGTAGTTAACATGTACCATAGCTTGCCTGGAGAATGGAGTAGTACAGAGGTTGCCTTGCTAAAATGGCTTACTGTTTATGCAGAGTTGTTGGAAATGGTTGCTTTGTGCAGGTGAATTGATGAGCCCTGTTGCATTTGGGAACCTGCAGAAGATTCATAAACCCAGTGAAGAGTGTGAGGACCCCTATGAGGAGTCAGCACCTTCCTGCTCTCAGTATGTGAGTATCGGGTCTAAACCTCCAGCTTGTTCACAATGGCATTCTGTGCCAGCTTCTCACTTCAGTGGCTGTAACCTGCCTCTTGTATCGCACCTAGCGCACACCCTGTGAACAGCTGCTGAAGTCGCGAGTCTGGGCCGACTGCAAGAGCTTTGTGGACCCTAAACCCTACCTGCAGGCCTGCATTCAGGACATGTGCAGCTGTAACTCTACCCTGGGTGACTTCTGTGTGTGCAGCACCCTCTCCGAATTCTCCCGGCAGTGCTCCCATGCTGGTGGCACTCCCCAGAACTGGAGGACTGAGAAATTCTGCGGTAAGATGCTAAATCACAGGTGGATTGTTCTACAGCTGAGACTTCCACTTGGATTCTTTGCAGCTTTGAAGTTTTTGCAGTTCTTGGTGGCTGAGATGGAAAGCCCGTTTCCATCTTCAATTTCACTACAGCTTAATTGAATTTACTTTCTGACTGCAGTGATAGAGGTACAGTCCTTTGCATTAAACCAAAGGATTTCTCCTTTAATGCTAGTCTTTTACTATTCACAGTAAAAATCACTGTACAGCACATCTAGCATCTTGAAAGCAAAGCATCTGACAGACATCTGAACTCCTCACAGCTTCATCCTAATTCATGTCCTGCAGTGCTTAGTGTCATTAACCCATTGCTGTGATGACCTCTAAATATACTGTGTCCAAACTGCAGCCAAGCAGTGTCCCTTCAACATGGTGTACTTGGAGAGCGGCTCCCCCTGTATGAACACCTGCTCCCACACTGACACCAGCACACTGTGTGAGGAGCATCGCATGGACGGCTGCTTCTGCCCCGCAGGTCAGTGCCCCTGTGTTCTGCAACACCACCCTGTAAAACCAGGATGACATGCTTGGTCTCCAAGACCTGTTTTGGATGCACTGTGCAGTTATAATTAACAGTATTGCGCAAGATGTGAGACTAGAGGCTATTTGAATACAAATGACTAGGAAATGGGATATTAGACTATTTTTCTGGGTGAGTTAGGCTGAGAGCATGACGTGACTGAAGATCCACATACTGTCACAGTGCGTGATCACTAGTGACCAAGTAGAGAAATGGTGACTTGTGTTCCAGTGAAGAGGTTATTTTTGGGTGTTGAAGTCCTTCCAGCAGGAACAGTAGGAGAGTGAAGCAGGCAGTCTGTCACGGACTGTGGTGTCATGCTGCCTGTCTTTGCTGTGCCACAGGGACGGTGTTTGACGATGTTTCTCAGACCGGGTGCATTCCAGTGGAGCAGTGCCAGTGCAACATGCATGGCACACACTACCAGCCTGGGGAGACAGTCCAGCAGGAGTGCGAGGAATGGTAAACGGCATCTTCGGCCACTGCAGTGGCTTCTGTCACCTGCACTCTCTCTATCTGATTCAGTGTAGTTTGAAACTGAAATGTAAAAGACCAGGTCCCATCTTATCCTCCCATTAAAATGGATTGTGTTCACAAACACTTATTTCTGTGTGACGTGCTGTGCATGCTGTTGTCTCTTTGGCTTTGTGTCCTAAACATGACCCATCCTTGTTTCTAGTGCTTGAGGCAGAGTTCCTCACAGTGCTGCTGAGCCAGGGGTGATATTCTTCATGCAGGGTGTGAAACTCGAAGGGCTGTTCTGTGTTTCAGTGTGTGTGAGTCGGGGAAGTGGCCCTGTAAGAGCCGGTCCTGTCCTGGGAGCTGTGCTGTGGAGGGGGGAGCTCACATCTCCACCTTTGATGGCAAGACCTACACCTTCCATGGAAACTGCTACTATGTCCTGTCCAAGGTAACGTCCCTGCCCATTACTGTAAGATGTCATTTCCAGATGTTGCAAGCTGTCCTGTGGAATGTAAATGGTGCAGTCATCCATGATAACAAGTTGGCTTGAGTAGTACAACTTTTTGTACCCTCTCAGGACTGTGATGGAGCCAGGTTCTGCATCCTGGGAGAACTGGTTCCCTGTGGCTCCAAGGACCTGGACACTTGTCTGAAGACCGTAGTGGTGCTGCTGGACCATGACAAGAACAATGTGAGTGTGGAGCCAGAGAGGCTGGTACTGGAGGGACAAGATACCAGGAAGGATGGGTTTCAGTTACTGTAATATCCTTCCAGTGAAGATCACTTGGAATTTCAAGAACCTGTATGGTCAAGGCACCCTTCAAGAATCTTTATGGAGTCACTGCTACTAGTAGGCTTGGCAGCTTATTCTAGCAGATACACTTGGAAATGCTCCCTATTCTCAGTCAATTGAAATACTGCATCTGTGGTTGTAGCGTACAGTTAAGATTGAGGGGGGGGTGATTCCAAAGACCATCCACAAGATCTCTTGCAAAAATCGTATTAAAAAAACCCACCCTGTCCATATGAGGCACAATTAAAACCTTATAGTAGGTTTTCAATCGGTATTGATTCAATTCCGAGCACATGAAAATATGTACAGTATATTACCTGGTGAGCTGCTGGATCTTTAACACGTTTGTTCTTCTTGAAGGCCTTGGTGTTTAAAGCTGATGGGAAAGTGCTCCACAACTCGGCTGAGATCAGTCTCCCATACAACATGGGTGAGAACTAGACTCCGTTGTGTAGGGTGTATGATGAGACTTGAGCTGAGCATTGTGACGGTCACAACATAGAACTGCATGAATATGC